CACACCCTATAAATATTGCAACTTTTAAACATATATATATATATATATATATATATATATATATATATATATATATATATATATATATATATATATGAACTCACTTACTCTCTGAATATAGCAACTTTTAAACAATATATAGAAATATAATATATATATATATATAAAGTAAACACACCTACCCTATAAATATATATATATATATATATAAGCACACTTACCCTATAAACATCTAAACTTTTTTAAATATATATATATATATATATATATATATATATATATATATATATATATATATATATATATATATATATAGTTACAGTTAATTTCAAGATCAATTCTGGGACAAGACAAGTTGGTATAAAATGACATAAAATTGTCATTATATACCATATATATATATATATATATATATATATATATATATATATATATATACAGTGGGGGGAAATAAATATCCGTACACATGAAAAATTGTATTTTTATATATGTAAAAGCAAATTTTGATACATTTTATGTGTAGAGATACATTTTATTAAAAAATAGTAATAAACTTAATTCTTATTCTAACAGAAATGATTGCATTTTTTTTTATTTTAACTGATGAAAAAAGTATTTGTGCAAGACAAAAAATGCATATTAACTTAATTTAATACTTTGTGGAATATCCTTTATTGAGTTCAACAGCTACCAGTCTATTCCTGTACGTCTCAACTAATGATTTGCACACATTGAGTGGTATTTTGTGCCATTCTTCTTGGCATATTGTCTTCAAATTCTTGATATTTGTTGGTGCTCTTTTCCCAATTTGAATTTTCAAATATCACCATAAATTCTCGATTTGGTTCAAGTCTGTGGACTGACTTGGCCATTGCAAGACATCAACATTACTTTCAGCTAACCATTTCCTTGTAGATCTAGCGGTATGCTTAGGATCATTATCCAGTTGCAAAACCCAATCAGAAGATAGCCAAAGTCTCTCAGCAGAACGCATTAAATTGTCTTGCAGAATTTTCAGATATCTTTCGGCATTCATCTTAGCATCTATTATTGATATTCTTCCAACACCTTTTGCAGAAAAACAGCCCCAGATCATGACGCTGCCACAACCAAACTTTACAGTTAGCAACGTGTTCTTTGGTAAGTAGGCCCTCACCGTCCTTCCTCCACACATGATTTCGATAATTATGACCAAACAACTCTATTTTAGTTTCATCTGTTCATAGTAGTTTTTCCCAAAACGAATATTCTTTATCCTTATGCTCTCTAATGAATTTTAGCCTAGCATCTCTGTGTCGTTTCAAGAGTAGTGGAGTCTTCCTAGGGATGCGTGATTTCAGACTGTTTTTGTGTAGTTCATTATTTATTGTACGCTTCGTTACTTTAATCCCTAATGCACGCAGATGTTCCTGCAGCTCTTCTCGGATAACCTGTGGATTTTGTTGGATCTGGCGTTCTAATATCCTTGCTGATCTTAGAGAAATCTTTCTCGGAGCACCTGTTCGTCTTTGGTTTTCGACGCTGTTACAAGTTTTAAACCTTGCAATGAACGAAGCACTTGTAATAAAGGGAATATTCAGGTTGTTAGAAATCGTTCTGTAACTGTTCCCATCTTTCCAAAGAGATAAAATGTGTTGTTTTTGTGAAATAGTCAATTCTTTACCTTAAGTCATTATTAGAACCTTCTAGAAATTGCAGAATGCTACGATAATGGCTAATAGCGTTAACTATGATTACTGATAACATTTTTGGAACATTCTAGAATATACTTTTTTCATAATTAATTGATTATTTTATTCTAATAATTGATTTGTACGAATACTTTTTTCACCAGGTAGAATTAAAAAATGCATTAATTTCTGTTAGAATAAGAATTAAGTTTATTACTATTTTTTAATAGTATGTGTCGTTATACATAAAATGTGCCGAGAAATTGAAGAAAATGAACTGATGATTAGTCCGAAAATTATTTAATACATTTTCTGTTTATACGTTATTTTTATAAATACAATTGAAGTAAATGGTCTGTTTTTAATTAAACAGTATTAATTCCATTCACCGACCTGAATATTCGAGAAATTTAGAAAATATGCATTCCCCGACAGGAATCGAACCTGTATTCCTATAGAGGAACCGTAATTTGATCTAACATGCTATACCATTTAGCTACATTAAACATATCCAAATTAGCTACTGCTTTTGAATGAACTCTAATATAATTATGTTGTGTACATATGATTTTAATTATGTTGTGTACATATGATTATAATTACTATCTAATATCTTACTCAGTTAAGTGCCTACGTGATACACGTCTGACGAGACAGAAGATTTTCCTACAGTAGGTTGCCGTTTCATTCTGCCGTTGCCATCCAAGGCTATAGAACCCGGTCTATTTACCCATAGCGCTGGGGGGAGAAGAAGAGGATTCATATCTTCCCCAAGGGTATTGGGATGTAAGTGAATGTAATGGATTCGACTGGAATTCGAACTCGGCTCT